GGGGGGGGGGGGGGGGGGGGGGGGGCTCCCTTGACGAGCGTGAAGCCGTTAAATCGTAAAAAAATGCGTGACGTCATACGATGACGTCACAGATGTTCGAAAATACAGAGTATAAATGCATAATTATATGAAACATTGAAACAAGATAAGGTATCGATTTATTAAGGACGCCATTTTAGTAATTTTGATTCTACTTCATGAAAAAGTAGTCAAGTTTTGTTTAATAGTGTTCTTAATAAATTCTCGATTTTCTAAAGAAAGTAAAATATTTTTTCCACCCCTGTTACTGAGTTGAAAATGCAACCAGACCGCGTTCTTCAATGCGTTTCACTTGCGTTTTCTGTCGTTGGAACATGTTTCAAAATGCATTCTTTGTCATTTCGAACGCATTCAAACAGGGGCGGATCTAGCCTAATCTGTAAGGAGGGGTGCAGGTTTTCCATGGGGTGGTGCATGAGGCAGCCTCACTGCCCACTCTCCTCTGCAGTCTTAAACGCTACTATCCAAACATTACCATTTCTTGAGATGGTCGAATCTGCATGTTCGCCGTTCTGTTACGTTTTATTTATAAAGTCCATATCGGCTTTTTATCACGTATGCGTGACTGGACAGTTGCTGACGCACACACAGTAGTACAGTAAATTTGCTTGTGAAAGTACAGTGTATTTGAAAATATGGCTGTATAACAACCTCGACATGTTTGTATATTTAACCATGGCATGTGCACTAAAGCATTCTGAGTATTTTCTCGAGAGCTCACAAATCAATTAAATCGACACTCGCTAACAGTAGAGGTTCCACTATTCGCAATCGCTATGTGAAAAGCCGAAAATGTAAGGTCAAGCATACTTTTTGGGGGTGGTGCTGGACTTTTCTATGTGGGTGCTAGACACCACTAAGGGGGGGGGGGGATGCGCCCCCACGGTAGATCCGTCCCCCGTTCAAATCGCGTTTCATTTGCGTTTCAATGCAACCAATAATGATAACAAGATTTAAACACAAAACCTCACCTGCCAGACAAAACTGGGGTAAGCCAAATATAAGATCAGTGCCCAAAGGTACCTCCACAGGTGTAGCAAATCTTAATTTGCCACTTTTCTTTGCTGGGGACAGTGTGCCCTGAGAATTGTAAGCAATGTGATCTTCTGTGTAGTACGGATCACCTGAATAATATTAAAAGACAATTAACCCATTGAGCAGCAGCACTTTTCCCTTGACAAGTAAAATTGCTAATCCGGCATTAGCTATTAGACAGAGTTAAAAATAAAGTTGTTACAGGTCTGCAAACAAATTGGTACAAATCTATTCATAACCTGTCGAAAAGTTGTGTTCGCATTGTAACAAGTTTTTGAACAAGCTGTTAACAACTTGTAACAAACTTGATGGCATTACAAGTCAGACTTGTTACATGGTTGTTCTTTTAAGTTTGTTCCAAACTTGGGACAAGCAATGCGAACACAACTTGTTGACAGCTTGCTGGCAGATGCGTGTAGCATGCATCGGGGTGCAATACAGCTTAATTTGTTAACTAGGCACATTTGGTTAACCCATTGAGCAGCAGCGCTCTCCCTTTGACAAGTAAAATTGTCTGGCGTCAGACAGAGTAAAATAATAAATTAAGTCGCATATGAGGGTGCAATACAGCTTAATGGGTTAAATTACATTTTCTTTATACTGGAATTGATTAAATTTAACCCATTAAGCTGCAGAGCTTCCCCATTGACGAATAAAATCATCTGGCATTAGACAAGTAAAAAAAGTAGGCCGCACTGGGGTGCATTGCAGCTCAATGGGTTAATCAAATAGTGAACATTAATTTTAGGCGTACCATTAATAGGCTCCTTTGTTTCAGGAAAGGCAACAATTTGTCCAGAAAGTACAGCCAAAATAGAAGGTTCATACTCCTTATTGAATACAGTGTCTTCATCTGAGTGATCTGACGAGGCGATGCTCACCGCACTACCTTTCCTTGACTAAAAACGAGAGAGGAATGTTGCACTACAATTGAATTTATGCATTAAAATGTCCTTCATAAAGACACTAGTATAATATAACATTATAACAATATATGACTGTATATGTTTTATGACCTGTTACCAAAGCATTGACAAAGCACAGCATGTTTGCATACAGCATATAGCATATTGCATATTTTTGCAAAGCTTTTTTCAAACAAATTGGCGGCGGCCAGACTGGCATCATTTGGAAGGGGCAAATCCAATTCTAGGTGAATTTTCAGCAAAAGAAAATAGCCTGAATCTCTTCTTGCTCCAGTAATTCTACCCCCCCCCCCTGAAAATACTCTAGGCCTTGGTCCACATCCCAGGGCTTCAAATCTGGTATCCATCCAGAAAATCTAGTATCCCACATTTGAATAATAAATTATTTTTGTACTGTGACCAGAATTTTTTTCAGTATCCCTCTGGATTCTGAGCTTGTGATTTCCAGTATCCAAATTTAAAATCTGGTATTGCCTGGATATTAGGATACCGCAAATTTGAAGCCAGCTGCTGATCCGGATTGCCCAATGGCCAAGTCTGCCCTGTCTAATGTATTTAAGCGCTACCCAGCGCCACAAAATCATTACACAATAAAATTCACCTATAGTACTGTTATTATAGGCTGTTGCTCATACTGTACTGATACTTAAAATGTAGTAAATTGGTATTTTGAGAAAATTAGGGTTTAATTTTAACAAAAAACACTACATTTATGTTATTGGATATATCTGTCATTATACCACAACAGCCTATCAACAACATTACCCGACTCATTGGTATCAGTCTTGTGTCTTCGTCCATTCCTACGATGACACACAGTTCAAACAAACTTTGCATAAGTTTTGAAGGAGGTTTCATCCTTTCTTCTGCATGAGATGAATAGAATACTGAGCTTTCCATTGTTACCGAGTATCAATTATTGCTCTTTCAATAAACCTGCAAATTATGAAATAACGTAGTAGAAGAAGAATTAGTTTTACTCACCCATTATTAATCATTACATTATTCACTTTATTAGTATAGCATACTATCTGCCTAAAATAACCATTTATAAGGGCTAACTGAATTGGGTTTATTTATTTATTTAGCACTTTATTTAACAAGGATTTACAGATAAAGCTACAGTGCAGCTTGTTTCCAATCTGGTCCTCTTAAGTTCTAGAAATATATTACATCACATGATTACGATACTCATGCAGTTAACATACTTTAGATACGTAGGATATACAGTCACAGATACTGTACATCACAAACACACATTTACATACACAGATACTGTACATCACAATCACATAACATTAACAATCTATAACTTTCAACAGTAAAAGTTTTTATATTAATATAATCTTTCTGTGTTCAGTTCAGTTATCTTAGACTTCAGTCATCGTTCTTTACAGAACGATCTAAACCCATGTGTCGTGGTAAGTTTCTTTCCCATGTCTGGAAATCTGTTCCACAAGGAAGGAGCCAGTAACGAAAACCTGCATTTTCCTGTGTTGGTCCTGGCTTTGGGGAGAAACAGGTTATTGTTTTCTACTGCCCTTGTAGAGTGGTGGTGTGTCTGCTTTCCTACGAGGGTGCTGAGGCAAGGAGGGCTAATTTCGTGGAAACAGTTGAAGGTTTGTTGAAGGATGCGATGACAGATGGTATCGACTATAGGGATGATTTGAAGGTGCTGGCTCCTTTTATTACATCAGTCATTAATGCATTATTAAGTTGCCTTGTGCCCTAGCTAATGTGGGCTACTTTATTATTTTACTGTCTAACGTGACACCGGTCAAGGGGAGAGAGCTGGAGCTCAAATGGGTTAATCAGACTATATGCCCATTCATCCTTGCTGTTAACCCTTTAAGTGGCAATGTATCTCGATGTTCCCTACTTTATTATTTTACTCTGTCTAATGCCAGATGATTTTACTCGTCAAGGGGAGAGTGCTAGTCAGTGGGTCAAATTAACTCGATCTCCAAACCTGCCCCGTAGGAGGTGGGTGGAACTTATGCACGGAATGTGATGTGCCAAATTTATCTGTGCTCTGCCTTAATATATTAAATAGGTAGTCCGATCATGGACAAATATTGAGATTCAAATTTGTGAAAGTCTAACCATTTACTGATGTCAACGTAAAGGTAGCACTTTCTCCTCAATTCTTTTTAAGACCTTGAGTAGAGGTCCGACCAAGAGCGAAGGGGTAACCCTAGTGGTAACATGTAAACAGGCCGTAAAAGTGTTACAGGTGTCAAAATTGAGTATAGTGTTCCTACGTGTAACAAATGAATGCTACCAAACGAAAGTGAAGCAAATTTGGAGTATCCTGATAGAAAGGAATTCTGCAAAGGAAGTCGTCGACTCTACAATGACATTTATATCCTAGAAATTAGTTATTCATCCAGATATAAATACCATGTGATGCTTATTATAAAAAGGGGGGAAAGACAGAAATCGGGAAAATAAACACAATCCTTAAACATGAATTAAATTATTCATAAAGGCTACCCACCTCACAATTCACAGCAAAAATCCTAAAATACGACAAGCGCACATTTCCACATTTCTTCTAGTGTCCTTCGCATAGAAATTTTGGCGGCAATTATCACTTATTAATCGTATTCTTTCTTTGAAGACGAGTACTTGTAAATAGACAAATTCAAGATAATCTGCTGTTCTTCCGGGATGTTTTGACAACCACTGTTTTCCCAGTAAAAACCGCGATTATTTTAGTAAGCCGGCAACTTGTTTACACACGGTCTACGCTAACAATCCCACGTGAAATTTTGTATGAAATACTTGGAAAAGATGTGATTAGGTGGTCTAAAAACGGTGTAATTTGATCGTTTACAAATTTAATTTGTTTACATATTTACACTAAACCGGAAACGGAAGTTGTCTTAATGGCATTATATGCTAATTTCACATTCGATTCAAATTTTCAAAGAAAACCGCCAACCCACTGGAATATTCTGGGTTTTCGCGGAAAGAAAACTAAAATCGTAAAAGTCATGCATTATTTGTGCGTTTTCCAGGAATTTAGTTTTGGGCGGCCCTGTACTGTAAAGATTTTTAAAATATTCAAGAGAAATTTCTGAGAAATTTAAGGTGTGTTTAAGGCGCTAATTACCGTGGTTTTTGGCCCACATACGGCGTGCAGGTGAACAAAACGTTCCTGGTATTTTTTTCACAAACGTGACAATTTTACGCAAACAACGTCGCATCCACTGTCAACATTTGAAGGTCAAGTTTCAAGGTTGAACGCAAATGGTAATATAAATGTCAGTTTTATCATTATATATCTCAAAAAAGCTTTATGTATGACATTTGAAATTTAGATTAGTTTTAACTTTTAGTGTGTTTATATAATTGTATGTTGTAACAGTCTTGTTTTTATCAAGTAATTACAGTATATGTTGTAACAGTTTATATAATTATTTGTTGTAACAGCGTGACGCCCCTCGTGAAAATCAGTCTCGTAGATGATGAGCGTAGCGTGGTTAAAAAAAGTTTTCATAATAATAATAATGAATGTATAAAAAATTCAAACTCAAAATTTCTATCAACAAAACCGTTCTAGCATTAGTTATATTTGTATATACGACGTTAGACGAACTATTTAAAGGAACTAATATCAGACATTGATTTCTTCCAAGAAACGTTGCCAGGAAACCAATAACAATGATTGCATGGGAATTTAGCGCAGAATGTGGCATGTGATGTCAGTGATGCGAACACTGGATACGAACACATTTTTAAACTCTAGCCCTAATCCCAAACCTAACCATTCCACATTCATTGCCCATGCCAAGAAGGGGGGAGGCTAAATAGAGGAAATCTGGAATAGTTTGCGCCAGTGTAGACCGTAGCACCAATGGACCTATTCCCTAATGAACAAAATTTGATCTAGACAAGTCTAGACAAACATTTCATCACGGCTTGAAAGAGCATCACAAAATTAGTAATATTCCGAAGTTTCGTTGCGAAATGTTGTAAAATGCGGATAATATAGCCCTGCGAAGTTTGCCATGTTTCAGTCATTATGTATTACGCACGGGAAATTAACACCTTTTTTCAGAAAGCTGTATCAATTTCCTGTGCGTAATACAAAATGACTCATTTATTTCTAATCTGTGTCAGTTTACATCTAGCCGTGAGGAAAATTTCCTCTACTAATTGAGGACACCAAGACAATAGAGTCACGATCTTTCTCAACGGCCAGTTTCAGTATAGTTTATACCTGTAAACCACATATAAATCATGAGTATTCTCTATATGACCACTCCGCGTATTTTCAGCGCTAAAATGTTGTATGTATTTCGGCTGATGAGAAAGATCAAGATCGTGACTCGATCTTTACGACCGTTACGACCATATAAAAACTAGGCTTAAGACGAAGGACGCGGATAAAGCGAAGTCGACGGCCAAACTGACAAACTCATTCAAATGACAATTCAAACACTCAGTAGTCATAAATTTATTGGCAAGTCATGTCAACCATAATATGTCACGTAAAGAGGCTTTATATCAACTCATTTTCACTATTTTTCCGATTGGTATTCTTTATATACTAAAGTCCATCCTAAATAGTTTATAAAAAGATGAATGAGACGGCATCTATTGTAGTCGTGTTTGAAGCTATTCAGAACACTTGTAGCGTGTTTTATCATATCTAAAATGTCTTTTATCTTAGTTAAATATGGAGAAACACTCCTATAGTCCTATACGTGTGTTTAAACAGTACATAAATTATTGTAAAGAGAACTTATCGTGCATTATCAATCGTATGATTTAGGCAGCTTTCTACAGTGACTGTAGAGTATCTTCTTTTTACAGACCAAAATGCAAACCGTACGACGTAAAAACTTTGGTTGGTTTACCCGGTTTACCGGTGACTTCCCACTAGTCCGAAGGTTCACTAGTCCGAAGGTTCACTAGTCCGAAGGTTCACTACTCCTAAGGTTCACTAGTCCGAAGGTTCACTAGTCCAAAACATACGCTGGTTTTGAATTGCAATTACGTGTTAGACTTGGCTGCTTCGCAGTTAAGCATTTTTCGTACCTGCATATACACGCACGGAAAAATTTAAATCCACTTGAAAGTCTTTTGTCCACTTAAGAAATAATTAAATGAATAAAAGGATAGCATTTAGTTTTGTGTTTGATTTTAAATGTATTTTTTAAGTAATTATAGTACTTATACCGGTATAAAGACTTAAACTTTTCCGAGTGTATATATGTACGTGAAAAATGCGCAACTTGAAACTCGCCGTATTTAGTCATTGGACGTTTAAGGCTGCATTTTTCACGTACATATATATGCACTCGGAAAAGTTTATAAATCTTTCTAAATTTTATACCGGTATAAGTATAATAATTACTTAAAAAATACATTTAAAATCAAACACAAAACTAAATGCTATCCTTTTATTAATTTAATTATTTCTTAAATGGACAAAAGACTTTCAAGTGGATTTAAATTTTTCCGTGCGTGTATATGCAAGTACGAAAAATGCTTAACTGGGAAGCGGCCAAGTTTAACACGTAATTGCAATTCAAAACCAGCGTATGTTTTGGAGTAGTGAACCTTCGGACTAGTGAACCTTCGGACTAGTGAACCTTCGGACTAGTGAACCTTCGGACTAGTGAACCTTCGGACTAGTGAACCTTCGGACTAGTGAACCTTCGGACTAGTGAACCTTCGGACTAGTGAACCTTCGGACTAGTGAACCTTCGGACTAGTGAACCTTCGGACTAGTGAACCTTCGGACTAGTGAACCTTCGGACTAGTGAACCTTCGTGAACCTTCGGACTAGTGAAC